GTTTTAAATGATGCCATTTCTGCTCAACTTTATAAGCTGGCAGGTTTTTAAAGAAAATGTTTATCAGCATTTAGGCACTTAAAGTATACGAAATGTGAATCACATGTTTGATTCTTTGTTACAAGCTTAAAAAGTGATAAAAATATCTTTGTCAAAGATTATGTATGTTGAATTTTTCTTCATGTTTAAATTATTCCCTCATTTTGTTACTTTTGGATAAGAAAGTTTTTTCAACCAACCTTTCCTATTCATTTATGCCTTACTAAACCATTTATATTTTTTAAAATGTTAATAATAAGAAAATTGTTCAAATAATATCAGTTATATAATTACTATAAATGATGTTGACCCTTTAAAATTATTATTGAATTTTTTTGGAAAAGAAAATCATTTTAAGACACATTAGAAGTTGTGCTTTTTCTTCAAGTGACTAATGTCGTTACAGACTATCCACATTTAAATTTTTATGGTCTGTTTTGAAACTGATTAAAATAAAATTTGTATTTTAATTACTTTTTTAAACAAGGTAATTGGTTTTAAATATTTAAGCTGATTACTAAATAGATCAATGGGTTTGACTTACTTGGGTGCTTGCTGTTTTTGGGTGCATGAGAATAAATTTTTAATTAAACTGTAGCCCTATAGACTAATACCATTAACTTTCAGGCTCAGCTTATGATGTAAGGAGTCAAATGACATCACCATCTCAGATGACCTCAATAGATCAGATAAAGAGTCATGGCCCATCCAGTCAGTATTCAAGGGGTACAACTCAGCCCACAGCGCGCAAAGCCCCACCTAGTGAGGATGGTGATAGTGGTGTTTATTATAATGGCGAGTGTAGCTTTTTGTGTCTTTGGTTGCATCATGTTTTTATTAAGATAATTTCCTTAATATCTTTTTATTTATAAGAAGCTCCTTTATTTGGTGAAGTAAATATTGTTATATGGTAAGTATTTTACAGATATATTAATAGAGCACTTTTTTTCTTTTTTTTAGAAGATTTAGATTTTAATTGATCTTTAGATGTTCTTAAAAAACTTGCTTCCTAATTATTTTATAATCTAATATTAATCACAATATTTTGTAGCTTTACCATTATTTTAGCTCTAATAGGCAGCTTTTTCTTTTAAGTTGCTCATAATGTTAATATTCTGTTATGATATGAAAGGTTGACAATTAGTGGCATTCAGATTGTTTCATTTATTTCATTGCAAGTTTTACAAATCAGTGTTGTTACTTTTGAAGTATAAATGCTTTTAATTTTTGTTGAGCTTTGTTTCCTTCTGTTATGAAATTACTCTTAATTTTCTTATTTTACACTTTTCTAAAAAAAAAAATATTTGTCATAACAAATAATGAATAAATAAAAATAAATTTAATAAAATGCTGTCAAATAATCTATCACAAAACCAAGTTATATAGTATGTTTTTGAATAAATATTTTTAAGAATATATATAAATCTGAATATGATTTAAGATTTAAAAAAATATAAAAAATTTTAGGGGCTCATATATTTGTGATTTTCTTCTATGTCTTATAAATGCTAATTATTGTAATGTTTGCCTGTACATTAAACATGTCGCTATTATTGTATGTGCATTGCTATTATTGTATGTGCATGCTAATTTATTCTTTATTTAGTCAGCTTAAGCCAATTATAGAATCTTGTAACTTTTGCTTTGATATTTTTAGCTGATATTAATTCTTACTTATTCTTACTTCTTTTTGTCCACATCTGTCAAATTTACTCATCTAATACCATACATAGCTTGCCTTATGATTAGAAGATGCAGAAAAAAAAGGTAGAACTAACCTAAGGTGCTATATCTAGAATTCAATACCAGTAGCTAAAAAGTGAGTCATGAAGGGTCGATCAATTGGAGGATGCCAAAAAAAAAAAAAGGGGTAGTCATTGTAATAAAAAAAAAAGAGAACATCATGATGCACAGGTGAAAAAAAAAAGAGAGGGGGGGGGGGGGGTCCAAAGAGTGAGAGAGGAAAAAGAGCAGGCCATTTCATTTCATTGTTACAGATATAATTTTGGGGCTCAAATGTATGTCGGGGGATTGTTCTGGCAATAACCAGTGTGTAATGCTAGTTTATAATAGAATTCAAGAAACTAACTTAGCTAACAAGAAATATAAACACATAAAATCATTCAACAATATACATATATCTTTATATCACCTAATTGCAATAATTTAGGAGCACAATTTTCAATTCAGATATACAAATAAATCTGATGTCAGAAAAATATAACAGTCTGACACATCTGATAAATAGTAAATACTTAGAAATATAGATACAGATAATGTCTTAACATGTTCTGTATGGTAAATCATAATAAGAAGTTTCCCCTTTCCTTTTTTTTAAAATCAGAATTTATAATATGAAAAAGAGGTTGGGGATTTAATGTTCTATTTTTAATTAATATATGATGATACTTGAATCATGTTAGATTTGTTTCTTGCATTGCTGATCGAACAACTACATCTTCATTCTGTCCTCTTTTGTTTAGACTTTGAAAAATATGTTTATTCTGTAGACAGGTCAAAAACATACTTATATAATTATTAGATAATCATTTTCCTCTAATTTAACAGATGATATCAATCAGAAGAGAAGACTGGTCAATGAGCAGAGAGTAAATGCCAATCCAACTAACAGTGTTTACTCTGAGCCAGAGGAGGCTCCTGAAAGCTTCAGGGAGAAAATTATCATACCCACTAAGCACAAAGGTAAAAATAGTCGGCAACCACCATCATATGATGAAGCAGTAAGTGATCAGTCTTCTGATGAAGGGTCTCAGGCATCCAGCTATAGCTCTCTACCAAGAAAGAGACCACCTTCTTCAGATGAGGAAAGATCTGTTAAATCTAAATCTTCTGAATGGTCAAGATCAACCACAAGAACAAGGTCAACACGCACTGCTTCTTCATCTGAAACAGAATCAGAAGAGAGTCACAGTGAAGGCTCATCCAGTGGCCACCAGGCAAGAGCTCAAAGAAAAAAGCCTAAGAAACAGTCAGAGCCTAAGAGGTCACAGCAACCTCCTCCACAAAAGCAAACAAGGCAACATATGCCTCCTCCACAAATGCAACAACCTCCCAGAATGCAGCAGCCTTTTGTACGTCCTCCTCCAATGTATAGTGCCTATCCTCCAGGACAGTATGTTCCAATCATGAGTGGGCCCCAGTTTCAGTCTGTACCAGGTGCATATCCACCTCCTCGCTACCCAGTCCAGCTCCAGCCTTCTAGAGGGCTACAGGTTGAGCCTACAGATGCACCTGTTTATTCCTACCTTGTGCAAAGAGGCTACAAGCCAATAGATCCTGCAAGTATATCACAAAACAGTTCTGATAGCCATAGGTCAGGAGGTCGTAGGCTGGAAGAACCTGACTTGAGGTTGGACAGTGGGGTAGAATACATGAAGCGTTAAGAACTACCTGCGCTATATCATATAAGATGTTTATAATTTATATTACATTGAATATCATAAGACATTTATAAACAAGTAAATTAGTACAGTAGAGCACCATTACAATGTAAATTGTTTATAACCTAATTTCACTATAAAAAACATTCTATTTTTTTAAAAATATATTATGCAATTATGTTTGTTAATAATCCTTAAGTAAAATAGTATAAGCTTGATACAGTAAGTCACAAGGGAAAAAAAAACATTTCTTATGTAAAAATAAAACATAAATGAGCTTTACTTTCTTATGTAAAAATAAAACATAAATGAGCTAAACAATTTTAAGTTGACCATAGCCATCCTCATTCTACTTTGAACAACTATCAACTTTTTTTTGACAATATTTTCATTTAAAGATATGTATTGTGCACTTGAACTGCTCACCCTTTATTCATCTTAGCACTATTTTTCTTTGTGTGATTATCTAATAATGAAATAGCAGAAATGACTCTAAAAATCATGTCAGCCATTGAGTTGTGAATACTTTTTATGTCAGTGTGTAGACTTGTGACTATCTCCCATTTTTCCAAAGTGCCTTTTATAAATATATAGTTGGTCATTCATAATAGTATGTAGACCACTTTTGTCATCCATCGGACTGAGGGCTTTGCACTGCAGTCTTGTGCCTCATGTGGCTGGTGAGAATTATGTGAGCAATTTAGTCCAGTCTGAGATTGTGTGAATTGCATTGTTTTATTTTCGGGCACTTTTCTTCTGCCAGTGTGATTTCAACCTGGACTGCCATCTGGTAGATGAAACCAAATGAGAGATCTTGTTATTGTATTGGTGTATAGGCTACTTTGAATCATGATTCCATTTGTTTCTTTTGCTATTTTTTTTTCTTCTCTTTACATGCCCAGTTATACTTGTATGAATTAACCTGTGTTTAAAAGCATCTTAGATTTTTTTAGGACATACTTTAAAATAAAGTGAATACACATGCTCACTTCTTGTTTGAAAACATTTCTTTGTACTTTGATTTGGTAATGGAGAGAAAAAGTTCCAAAGTACACACTAAAATAGTGAAAAAAATGTCATTGGCCATTACCCAATTGTATGAAAACTATCAGCTGTCACTTAATAGGATATAAAACATATGATTGACTTTGGTCTTGTGTTCTTAGTTGTAATGATGTTCTACTGTATTTGTCTTTTAGTCTTTTAATTATTTATAAGTTATGCTTCACAGACAAGATCTGAAGAGACAGTGATGGCTGCACTGTTTACATTACAATCATTAATTCACTTAACATTTGTAAAGTTTCCATTCAGGACCATCATGACCTCACTGGCGCATGTAGATACAGTCACCTCAGATACAAGAAGAAAATATATGAAGTGACCACAGATAGCCTAAATAAAAATAAATGTTTTAGTTACTCTAAGAGCTTAAAGAAACCTTAAAAAAAGGTTTTCAGCATTTGAAAGGTAGTAGATGGACATTGGAAAAACTGTAATTGTAAAACAAAAAATTATGTGTTTGTCTCACATGGAGATATCACATACAACAACTATGTCAAGATGTATCAATGTCTTACATGGAGTTATCACATACAACAACTATGTCAAGATGAATCAATGTCTTACATGGGGATATCACATACAACAACTATATCAAGATGAATCAATGTCTTACATGGAGATATCACATGGAGATATCACATACAACAACTATGTCAAGATGTATCAAATGTTTTAGATCAAACTATATGTCTACCTTTTAAAACTTCTACATTTTACACAATGTAAAGATAATGTACATTTCACAAAAATAGTTTGGCTCAACTGTCTAATCTGGCAGCATCTTTTCTTCAACCTCTGTAAATATTTTCAATTGTTGGATTGCAGTGGCAATAATAATTAAATATCCACTGCTTTTTTTTTTTTTTTTTTTAATATTTGTCCATAAAATATTTTTACCTCATATTCCTTGTTCTAGGATTATTATTTTCAGATTGCCCTATATTTAATGTAGAATACATAGTTTTATCAGATCCTAAACTTCTTTTTATTTTCTCATGAGTTCAAAACTATCATTGTAACTATTGTAATTATATATATGTAGATTATGTAGATGTGAATGTCTCTATTAATGAGTTCAATTCATATATCTTTGACTTTCTCTATAATTTTGTTGATTCATGTTAAAAAAAAAAGGAAATTCTCAATTTCCATTCTTGTGGATCAATAAAAAAAACACTTTCAAATAGATTTGATATATATGTACATTTTGTCATGTGATTATAAATATTCTTAAACTAGACAATGACTACATTTCTGTGACTGTGCTAGATCATATAATTGACTAATTATTTTTATGAAGCTTTTATCAACTCACTCTGCCTGTCTGGTAAATAGTTTGAACATATTTTTTCTCTCATTTCCCATTCTTGGATCAAGGTGAAACTTTGCACAATTATTCATTTTATCTGACAAGACATGAATCAATAAAAAAAATTTAACCAATTAGTTCATTAATTATTGGTGATAAATTATTTTTTTTTATATCAATATAATGAAAAAAAAACTGCTACTTAATGAGAGATGTGTACAGGATGTACATATGGATTTAATCCCATTGTTATGTTTTGATATGTTTCTCTCTTGATTCCTATTCTCGGATCAATTTGAAATTTAGCATACTTATTCATAGTTGATGACAATACAGAATTCAATCTAAAAATTTAACAATTAGTTAATCTATTGGTACTAATTAATTAATTTTGTTTTATATGGAAGAAAAGTACCTCAACCCTGCTATTTTCAGATAAAAGGCAGTAATTAGCTGTGCTTTTCCTTAGATAACCTTTGTTTAAAAATAATCTTTTCTTTTGGTTGTTAGTCTTGAATTTACCATTTCGAACTTGTGTTAAAACATTTTTTCCCCTGAAATAGGTTAATAATTTGTGTAGTGTCAATAACACAATATCTTTAAATTTAATCTGACAAACTATTCATGCATGCACATTCAAACATTTTGCAAAATATTGTCTAAACATTTGATGTTTTTGTAATTTCTACATTTGTTAATTATTTTCAATAAAAAAATGATGATAAAATATTCCTAGAAATCCATCTATGAAGTCCTTCATTTATTTATTTTTTTATTTTAACTAAATTCTAACTACTGTTTCAGCTTTTTCGAAGCAATCAGATTAGTTTATGTTGAATGTTGTATGGAAAATATAATTTTATATTTTTGAAAGTCCAGGTATAAAAAAAAGTTATCTGCCTTCAAAGTTCTTTGATGGATTCTGCACAGCTTAAAAAGAATTTGTCGCCTAGTTTCTTCAAGTTAACTATTTAATGAAATAAAGACTTGTATTGTCCACTCTGTTCAGTGTAGGTTAGTGTATGATGGGGATTATAAATATGAATTGATGGAATTCTGAAACTAAAGTGTGCACTTCAATGACTGAAATGTTGATTATGATGCAGGTAATCAACCCACCTTGTTTCCATTTGGAACACTCATGTGTGTCCTTCTAATTTAGGATGATTTCATTGTGTTGTTTTCATTAGGGATAAATTCTAGTACATAATCTCATAACTCTGCTCTGTCTACCATATTCACTATGCAAATAGTTTGCACTGTGCGTGTGTGTCTCCTTAGTTGAATTATTTTCTATTGTGTAACTAAACATTCCCATCCACTCGCTGAGCTGCTTACCTAGATTTACAACTTTATATTGCACTCTAAACTCCATACATCTCATAGATTAGCACATTTACACACTTGCATTTGCTGATTTGAAGTTTTCCCATGAACTCTATATCTCACCTAGACAATCTCCTCCAGCTCCATAGGCCTATATTTAAGTGGATTTCAGCCTAGATGTTCGCTTTTTGTTTTAAAAACACGTTCTATTACATCTAATTAAAAACAATTTTTTTAGAACCACTATTTGTGAGCCCTTGGTCTGTGTCACACACACACACACAAAAAAGGTTGGCAATATTTCAGATTGCTTAAAGTAGACTTAAAGTGGCGTGGTAGATTGAACAGTTATATATCTCTCATTTGACGTCTTCATTTAGTTCACCTTACCATTTTATGGTACCTGCACCAATATGTAATATTGCTATGATAATTATTTGATATTTGTACACTCTTACAATTTCAGTTCCCAACCCTATAACTTATTTAATGCAAGACTGTGTGTAACTGTCTTACTCTCTTCAAGCTTGAATAGAAATGTACTTATAATAATATAAATATATCTAGAAGCAAGTCTAGGGTTACTGTCTATAGACGTCCTCGTACATGCACACTGGCACTTCGTTGTTAATTGCAATAGTATATTTTTATAAGACAATCGAATTTAGTACTTCATATCTTCAGGTATAAAACACAAAATTCACTTACAGATGTAGGCCTACCTGAAGGAACAGTGCATTGAGTTAAGTGGTTTGACCAATCACGATATAGCGGATCCAGAGCTTTGGAAAGGGGGGGGGGGCGATTTTTTTGTCGAAACCCTAACCCTGACGCCCAGTAAACCCTAACCATATGCATATACGTGCGTACAGCACGTATGAGAATTACACAAAAAAAAAAAAAAAAAAAAAAAAAAAAGCAGTACGTGTTTCTCAACCTTCGGCCAAAATAAAAAGCCTTTCTCTTGATAGCTTGGGGGTCTGGGGAAGCGCTGTAAACCTTCCAAAGGGTTCGGGGCGAAGCGCATTCTCCTGACATCTACAGCTCATTATTCATCCTATTAAAAAAAGACCTTTTGAATAATGTTTTACTTGAAAAATATTCTAATATGATTTTATAGGTAAATAAAACGATTTTGAAGATACCCCACAGGTTTAGATTAAGGCTTTGAAGATGGCGGCCGAAAAAGAAATAATTCGAGAAATAATATTTTTTAAAAAAGCTCATACATTTTGTTTAGGCATGTTTGTAATAGGATTCAAGCATAAATTGTGAGCTATAGTCACAAATTTATTTAGACTAGAAAAATATCAGATTGAGTAAAGGTTAGAAAAAGGCAACTAGGAAAAAAATATTTGGGTTCAAAACTCATCTCAATTGTTACTCCTATACTGAAAAATTTCGTTTGAATTCTAAATTTTCAAAAGCAATCTTTCTTTAAAAATATGATAAATTCATAAACTCTGTAGCCATATTTGACTATTCTGTTTAAAACATGTTTTCGTCTGAAGAGGAGATTCGAGGAGGAGTAGAGTGAAAACGATTAATCCTCACTTCTTTTTATAATTTCTGCTAAACGTTCAAATACAAGAAAAAAATTGCCTGTACGCCATACCTGTGCGTACCGTCACAAAAAAGCACTGTATATATATATATAGTACGGCGTACCGGCACCTTTTTCAATGTGGGGAAAAAAATATTACTTTCTTGCATTAATTTATTAATAGTTAAAAGTTAGGCAATCCATCACTGAGTAGCCTATACCGTCACCTAATCGCTGCATGAGTACCGGCACCTTTTTTTTTTTTTTTACAAAAAAAGCACTTTTAGGGGGCCAACAGTTGCCTATATATAGGCGAAGTTAAAATTATTGTCTCCTTCCACCAAAATATGATGGGTACAGTGCCTTCTCCGAAAGTTTCAGTATAAACCGCGGAGTAAAACGTATTTTATTCAGATAGTTTGTTAAAAATGTTTTATTTTTTAATTAAACGTGGAGACACTCCTTTTTCTAAGTTGACGAGTGTCGTACTGAATTGACAAAGGGACACAATCATGGTGTCACAACACTGCCTCTGACCTATTTAAAAAAAAAAAAAAAAAGCACAGGTAGTCGATAGAGTAGACCAGGTAGGTAGGTCACAGTCTAGAACTCCGAATGGCGTTTAAAAAAATAGAAAACATTGACACAATGATTGGTATCAAAAGTAATTATCAAATAATTAACATTGTGATTGTAAATTTATATCTAAATCTTAAAATATATCTTTATTTAGATTCTTGAACAAGAGTGACAGTCAATGAGTCACATATGAGTGAATGAGTCTTTAGATTAGAACGGTGGGTGAGGAACAAGAATTTCAAGAAGTAGGCTAGTAGGAAGTGGTCGCGACCACCATTGCCTATGAATTATGATTACAATTACAGGCTTATTGACTAAATTCTAGACAAGGTCTAGTCCTAGGTTATAGACCAATAGGCCTAATCAATCAGCAATGTATCTAGATCTAGAATGTGACGGATGTCTAGAGTTAGAAGATAAGCATAATAATAATACTATTATGTAATAGATCTAGTACTAATCTAGGTAGATCTATAACTATAGATTTAATCATAATCTTAGATCTAGATTCCAGATCAGATCCATTATTCTCAAAATTATCAAGATATAAAAATGTTTCAGTCTTTAAAAAAAATGATTAGATAAAGACAAAGATCTTTATCTAAGTTTAAATTTAATAAGTCAAAAGACAATATCCATGCAGTGGTGTAGCTATGGACTATGGTATTTGATGCCCTGTGCAGTAATTCCTTATGATGCCATCCAAAAAAAAACAGCAAAAAGTTTATAATATTGAAATAAAGTAGGTCTATATTCATTTTTTAAGAATGGCTATTTCACAAAGAATTGAATTTACAAAAAAAAAAAAAAACAGCAAAAAGTTTATAATATTGAAATAAAGAATCGCAAAGAATCGAATTTACAAAAAAAAAAAAAAAAAAAAAAAGATAAATATAAGTGAAACTCACATGCTTTCTCGCTGGCAAACTATCGATAATTTTATTGAAATCAGTTATTTTCCACTAGGTCTTGTTAAATAGACGAGATAGCCAAATTAGTGAGTCAAAAATTCTTCAGCGTGTATTGTAAGTATTTCTTCATTAAAGTAAGTTTTGAAAAACTACGCTTGCATGTAGCCACGCTTACCAAAATAGAAAAAAAAATAAATTTGAATCAAGATAGCAATATTCTGGACTGACATTTTTTTAGGGGGAAACTCTTAAGCTCAATAGATTCTTGTTTTAGAAGTTCAGAGACTTGTGGAGAAACTGGGACAGTTACCTGAAGCCCCCAGACATAAATATATTCGTTATTGTTTATGTTGCTGGAAGAACCATCGAGATTGATTTACATCTGAGGATTCAATAAAGGCGATTAAAATTCATATTTATCATGACGTTGTTCTTATGAGGTTATTATTTCATGAAAAATATGGTCCATGGAAGGTATTTCCGTCAGTGTCTCTTTCTTGTGTGTTGATAGAAAATCTATCTTCATCTTTTTTTTGCGTGACAATTTGTTCTTGTGGCCTATACGTTTTTGAGGCTCTACATGACAACGTACCATAAAGTTACAAGGGGGCTTCAGTTTGAATCTCGACTCAAGCAAGGTTGTGTTTGCTGAGCAGTTGTAAAACCTTCTCTCAAATATCCCCCCCCTCCACGAATGAGATTCGACCATTACTAATTAGCAATTTAAAAAAACAAACAACACCATTCTAAACGTGTAGATCAAAAGTGCATTGAACAATGAAGTAACGTCATGTAAAGCTTAAAAAAAGTGTAAAAGGGTGTTGCCTTCAGAGATTTAAACAAATCTGGTAAGATTTTATTCAAGCTGGCCTACAGCTTACATTTAATTTAATTTAAGAAAGAATAAAGGTCATAACAAATAACCAAAAATAAAGTATGTTTGTTTATATATAAATTAATTACAATGTGTAGTTTTATTGAGAAAGTTTGTCCTCAGTTTGATGCTCCCAAACACTTGATGCCAAGTGCGGCCCGCACCACCCGCACATTGCTAGCTACGCCACTGTATCCATGGCATATGACTATAAGTCTGATTATAATTATATCCATTAGATCTTCAATCTAGAGCTAGACAGATAGACTAAAACTAAATTATAATTATTGGCAAGTCTACTAATATATATATAGATCTAGAAGTTAGAACTAAAAATAAAGGTGGATCTACTCTGGAGGTTGGGGCCATAAATGTAAACATGAAATTGAAAGTTGTCACCACCCCCTCATCCTAAACATTTTTTAATACACCCTTGGTTGAAATAAATATGCTTAGAAGACTTAAATTGTCACCACAGTATCCCCTGATTGAAGACAGATCTACTATTTATACA